CAGGGAGGACCCCCAGGCACTGCCCCCCCACGTGCCAGGCTGCATCACCCCCCCCTCCGATCCCCGTGCCCCCCAACTAGGGGCCGCCTCGTGCCCGCAGGGGGGCAGCCCCACGGGACCCCCAGCACCGAGGAGGCCAAGCAGCTACAAACCCCATCCAGGCCTTTATTGGGGGGCAGGCTCCCCCCGCGCGCACACGGGGTGCAGCCCCCCTGCGCGACGCTCCCCATCCCGCCAGGCCCGGATCAGCCCCCATGGAGACACGGGGCCCTAGGGAAGAGCTGCYGGCCTGGAGGTAGAATTGGGGCACCCCTCCCTTTTGGGCTCCGTCTGAGCACCCCCCCGGGGCACACAGAGCCCTGGGAGCCCCCGAGGAAGGGGGAGATGTCCCTGAGTGCTGGGCGGGTAGTGGGGACTCCCAGGAAAGCCAGGGCGGGAGCAGCAGAGGAGAAGCCCTTGGGTGCTGCCCCTGCAGCCCCGGTGCTGGGGAGGGGGCTGCAGCCCCCCGGCAAAGCACAAGCGCTGCCCAACGGCACCCGCGGAGCCCCCAGGGGTGGGAGCAACGGCAGGACCGGGCGCTGCCCCAGCCAAGGGCGTTCACAGCGAACCCCCCAGCGGGGCCGGGGGGTCCCGGGGGGCCCGGCAGCGGGCGGGGGGCTAGGGGGCTTTGTAGAGGTCCTTGCGGCGGCGCAGCTCGGCGAGCACGCGGGCGCGGAAGGCGTCGCGGGCCTCGCCGCCGCCGCGCGCCAGCCCCAGCGCCTCGTGCAGCTCGCGGCGGTGCGTGCGCAGGAACGGGTTGTAGCTCTGCTCCTCGCCCAGGCTCGAGGGGCACTGCGGGGGGCAGCGGGGGCGCTCAGGGGCGCGCGGGGCGCGCGCGGCCCCCCCGGCGCTCCCGGCGCGGTGCTCACGGTGCTCCTGGCGTGGTGCCGCCGCTGCGCGGCCCAGCGCAGCTTGCGCTGCAGCGCCGCGTTGTCGGGCTCGAGCAGGCGGGCGAAGCCCAGGCACTCCAGCGCGTACTCGTGGCCTGCGCGGCGCCCGTCAGCGCCGCCCGCCACGGYGCCCGGCGCCTTCGGCGTGCCTTCGGGCTCCCCCGGCAAGGGAAGGGACCCGGCGCTGCATCCCGGGACACTCACCCGGCCACAGCAGCGTGTCCTCCCCCAGGCCCACGGCCGCGTCCAGGGAGGCCAGCATGGTCTCCGCGGAGCCCTCGAAGAGCCTGCCTGGACCCGCACGCACCCGCCTGTCACTGCGCGTGGGAATCGGGGTCCCCCGGTGGGCCCACAGCCTGCCCCCCCCAAGCACCCCCAAGGAAGAACCAATTCACCCAGCCCTGGGGTGCCCCAAGCCCATGTCCTGCCCCATTGCACAGTGTTGGGGGCAATGCCCCCCACACGCGGCTGAGCCCCGCTCCCTGTGGGCGCCCGGCAGCCCCACGGCGCCCGCGCCGGCCCCGCGCGCTCACCGCAGCCGGCCAGGAAGAGCAGGTCTCCGGAGAAGAGGCAGCGCGGGCCGCCGAAGGGCGCCGCGTCCAGCACGTAGGCCACGTGGCCCACGGTGTGGCCCGGCGTGGCGAGCGCCTCGAAGCTCAGGCAGCCCACGCTCAGCCTCTCCCTGTGCGCCAGGGGGCTGCGCCGGCCCAGGGGCCCGTCAGCGCGGCCGCCCCGGCCCGCGGCACCCCCAGAGCGCCCCGGCCCGCCCTGCTGCTGTCACGAGCACGCCAGGGCTCTGCCCGCGGCGGGGATGGGGCGCCGGGGCGCGCGGCGGCCCGGCCTTACTTGGTGAGCTCCGGCACGGCGTCGAGGGCGCTGCCGTACACCTTGCAGGCGCCGTGCCGCTGGCGCAGCGCCGCGTTGCCCCCGCTGTGGTCCCTGCGCGGGGAGAAGTCGGCACCCCCGGGTGTCTCCCCCTGTGTCAGGGGGTGACTGTCCCCAATAACCCCCCGYGACACCCGGAGAGCCCTGGGAATGAGCAGCGCTCACATCTCCACCTCCCAGGAGCCAGGCTCTGCTCTGGGGGGACCCCAACCTTCCCCAGGCCCCCCGATGTGCTGCCCTGGACTCCCAGCATTAACCCCTGACAGACACCGGCCCCCAGGGCCCTGCTCGTCCCTTACCAGTGCTTGTGGGTGCAGAGGATGGCCTCCAGCAGCACCCCCTCTTCTTCAATGACAGCCTGCAGTGAGAGGTGGGGCAGGGACACATGGTGTGTGGGGGGGTCGATGACAGGCTCTCAGCATCCATCTGATCCCAAATCCCTGCTCCGGACCTCCAGCCCATTTCCCAGCAGTGCCAGAAGCAGAAGCTCTGCCCCTGCCACCCTGAGATCCTTCCTCTTCTTGTCCCAGAGTTGCCCCACCGAGGTCCACAGATTAGGGACAGATCTGCCCCCCAAAAAACATTCCCCTGCCTGGAGAGGCAAAGGCTGTGGTAAATGCCAGGACAGGTATGCACCCATGGGATCAGCCATATAGTCCCCTCCACCTCCCCAAGTTCTGCCTGTCCGTGGGAGCAGAAGGATCTCCCCATCCCTGTGGAGAGGTCCATCCCGTCCCCCCAAGGGATTCAACCTGGGGCACCCCTTGCAGGGCTCCGGGGGTCTCACCTGCACGGCCAGCGGATCGGAAGGGTCGACGACGGCCGCTCGCCCAGAGCTTGTGTCGATGACCAGGTAGCTGTAGTTGTTGGAGAGCACGGGGATGGGCAGGATTTTCACCGCTGCAGCGTGGACAGACAGGAGAACGTCAGGACACAAGGTCTCCGCAAGGCCCCATCCGGGAGGCCCAAGCCCAGATTAAACCTAGTGCTGTCAAGCAAACCCTGGGCAGTTTGGGCCTCCCTACCCCGACCCCGACTCACCGCCGAAGCCCACGGGCTCGGGGACGGAGTGGCCGTGCGGGTAGCGCTCGCGGGCCTTCTTCACCTGCCGCCTGTAGAAGAGGTAGCCGAGGCGGGTGCGGGAGTAYAGGCTGTACCTGGGGAGGGGGACGGGGTGAGCCCGGTGGTCCCACACCTCRGGGGCGCATCCTTGTCCCTGGCCCCGGTGGGAGGTGGGGAGAGGACCCCTGCCGYGGGGCCACCCTCGCCGGGAAGGGGGTGTTCAGAGCACCGTGTTCGTGGCAGAGCAGGGCCGGGATGGCCGGGAGGTTGTGGCTGCCAGGCCCGCGTTATCGGGAGCAGCAGGCGTGCGGGGTTGTTATCAGAACCGGGGCTCTCGGGAGCAGGATGCTGCGCACGCAGCAGCAGCCCCAGCTGCAGCCTCCCTGCACTAACCCAAACCCTGCGGCTCCCGCCAGGAGCCCAGGCATCCGAGCCGGCTTCCCAGAGCCACATGGGCAGCTTGGCACGTGGAGATGCGTGTCACCCTGCCGTGCGGCCACCCTGGCTGGGGCAGGGGCTGCTCTCAGCCTGGGGCATTGCTGGGGGATATGGGATCCCTTTCCTGAAGGCAGTTTCTCCCCACCGCCTGTTCCGGATCTGCACGAGGAGGGATTCGGTTCCCCAGGCGGGTTCCCTCTGTCCTGGCTCGGGCTCCCCGCAGGCAGGTGTCACAGGGAGATCAGCACGGCAGCCCCAAGCTGCTCCRCGCAGCAGGGCCTGGGGACGTCGCTGCCGGGGGCTGTGCCGTCCCCCTCCCAGTGCTGGGCACCCCCTGTCCTCCCGCCCGCGGCAGGACACACGGCCCYGGTGTCAGTGGAAAAACAGGTCGGCGCCGCGTGGTGAGGGGAAGAACAGGCCCAAAGACAGCAGCAAGGAGGACCCCAGCCTCCTTCCTCCTCCTCTGGAGGCCAGACAGCTCCATTGCCAGCCTCAAACCAAGGTGTTCCCCGAGGGTTGATCCCTAGGGCTCTGCCCACGGCAGCCCCAAAGGCAGCGCTCGCTTTGTGCCTGCGGAGCATTCCTGGCCGGGCTGCCTGTCCCCGGGGAGCCCCACGGCCGAGGCTGCCCCGTGCCGAGGGRCTCCACCTCTGTGCGCAACGGCCCGCGGCTGGGGAAGAGGGAAGTGCAAGGCGCTTCCCAGGCCCTTGCGGAGCAACGGAGGGCACAGAAAGCAGAAGGGGCGGAAGGAAGGGGAAGCGAGACGTGCGCTGGAGTGCACATGGAGCGCGGACACGTGCTGCCCRCAACACTTTGCACAGCAGCATTTCAGCACTCAGCAGGGAGAGGGGGACAGGGGTGAGTTGCCARCACGTACCAGTCCGTGCCATGAAGGACGTGCAAAGACCTTGGCCATTTCAGGCTTTCTCTCTGCCCCATTCCCAGGCCAAGATCTCCTTGAATCAATAAATGATTCATGTGGCATGTACACACAGAGAAAGTAGGAACAGGGGATTACAGCCATAAGGCTGGATCAGCTCTGCTGACCTCGGGGCCATTTCTGTCCCCGCTGCCCTCCCCAGGCCTGCGGCAGTGCACATATTCCCTCTAACCCGATGCTTGTCCTGAGCAGCAGCAGCGGGTGCACGGCCAGCTCAGGCATCCTCTGCCGTTTCCTCTCCCCTCAGGACCCCAAAAGCCCTCATCCAGGCAGCAAATGCTCCCTGGAAGCCAAGCATCTCCAAAAAGGTGCAAAATTCTCTCCCTGTGCGCCTTGCTTCCAGCACAGGGGGTCCAAAGGGGCACCCTCTGCCTCCGTTCAGCTTGGTGCCAGGCACAGGCGCTGTGGGATGGAGCTGCCAAGCGGGCCCTGCCTCCGTGGGAGGCCACGATCCCCAAGCCGGGACTGCGGGACTTCAGGGAACATGGGATCCTGCCAGCGACCGGCACCGCCTGCGCCGCGGCAYGCAGGGATTGGCGCTGGCAGCCGTGCCCGCAGGGGCCACGTCCAGAGGGAGCTGCTGGCACGACAGGAGASCTGGGGCACAACTGGTGGGTTAATAATTAACCCCAACCACAGGCCCGGCTGGTGTCGGCCCAGAGCGAAAAGTCCAACCCCTCTGCAGCAAAACAGGCAGCTCAGGGCGCCCGGCGCCCGCGGGGACACCAGCGTCCCCGGCTGCTCCCAGCGCGGGCGCAGCCTCGCGGCGCGATCCCRGCGGAGCGCGGCCTGCCCGCGGCCAGCGCTCACAAGGGCTCCCTTTGTGCGCCGGGCTGGGGCCGCGCAGGACACTGCGGGACGAGGCAGCCGCGCTCCCGTGGGCAGCCGCGTGCGATTCCTCCCCGGGTGGCTCCGGGCCGGCGCTGCACAAACAGAGGAAGATTTGCTGTTCCTCCAATTATTGGAGGCAGAACAAAGGAGAGGAGCTGGCGGGTGCAGCAGTGACTTCAGCTTTCCTGCTCCCCGGGGATGGCTCCGGGCACCGGCTCCCAGCCCAGACCCTGCCGGTGCCGGGTGCCCGACCTGGCCCATGGGGGTGCTGCCCACTGGGATGCTGGCAGTGACACGTGATGAACCTGAAGCACGGTGGATGGGTTCAGCTGGCCTCACTGCRCTGGCAAACCTCCTCCCCAGGCTCTTCCTGAGCGTCCCAGGGAGCTGTGGGGGATGCACCGGGGAAGAGGATGCGCAGACCACCTCACAGCTGTGCTGGACCCTGGCCAAGGCTCTCTGGAAGCGCAGGGGAGACAGGAAAGTCCTTCTTCCCTCCGGGAGGCAGGATCCTCCTTAGCAGGGGCCAACATGGGACACATAGACCTCAAAGCTCCAGCACAGCAGCTGAGRGGCCACCACTTTGCCTTAAGGAGGAGCCCAGCAGCTCCCCAGAGCCCAAAGAAGAGACCRCATGAGGAGCGGAGTCAGCTGGAGACACCTCCCAGGGCTGCAAGGGGAGCCCCGGGAGAGCAGCTTCGYATCAGTCGCCCCGGGGCAGGAGCAGGTGCCCGAACCTCCACAGCCACCTCTCCCACCCCATGGCATCCTGCACGCAGAGCACAAGCCCACGAGATCCCACCACRGCTCCGCACGGGAGCCTGCGTCTCTGCAGAGGGCCCTGCTCCTCCATGGGCTGTTCAGCACCTACTGACCTGGCCCCAGCGCCCGGTGCCGGAGCGGTGCCCCCTCCACCACGCAGCCACCCGAGCYCCTTCCCCGGGTCCCCGCCGCCCCTCGCGGAGCCGCTTCGCTCCGTCCCTGTCCCGCGAGACCCCTCGCACGGACCCCGCTGCCAGGGCACCTGCACGGAGCCGCGGCGGCGGCGGCGGCACGCGCAGCACCTCGGCGCCGCTGCCCGGGGCTGCGGCAGGGCCGCGGGCTTCAGGTGGCGATGCCAGCCCCCGGTCACGGCTCCGGCCACGTCCCGCGGGCGACGCTGCACGGCGGGAGGCGACCGCGCACGCCGCCCCCATCCGCCCGGCAGCCACTCACCCGAGGCGGAAGAGCAGCGGCCCGGCGAGGGCCATGAGCGCGGCGGCGGCGCGGCGGGCGAGGCGGCG